ACATATTTTCATCCAACCTTCTAGATTGAAAGTTTGTCTAAAACTCTGCAAAACATAATTGGTTAAGGAAAAATCAAATCCAAAAGATACGGTTTCAGAAATGTTCACCTTGATGTAATGTTAAATGTTTAGTGAATATTGCACCACAGATCTAGGACTTAATTACTACGATAGTATAAGCATATACAAACCTCTCAGTTTAAAAACAGAATATATGATCTATTTGTATAGCCTTTCAGTCTCAAATTGTAATATATCATGTTCAAATTTATGGTGTGAAAACAAATGTTCACTAGAAGTATTTTTACTTATTTCAAAATTTCATAATCTTAGTAAAACGTTTGACTTTTCATAAGTACATAAGAAACTGGAACAGAAGTAGGCCATTCAGCTCAAGCCTTCCCTGCCATTCAAAAAGATCATGGCTGATCTGCCCTAAGCCTGAATTCCCCTTTCATGCCAGCTCATCCAAGCCCTCAATTCCCCAATATTTCAAAGCCACTCTGCTTCCTCTCTGCACGCTTAGTGATCCAGCCTCCACAATTCTCAGGGGTAGAGAATTCCAGATGTTTATAATCCTCCAAGAGAAAAACTGCTTTACCGTCTCAGTTTTAGAGTGTCTATTTATTCTGTAACTATGCCCATTAATTTGAGATTTCCCTACTGGCAGAAACATGTTCTCAACATCTACCCTGTTAAACTCCCTGAGTATCTTGTATATTTCAATAAGATCACCATACATTCTTCAAAACTCTGATGAATAATGGCCAAACCTATTTAACTATTCTTAGTAGGTCAATCCCTTCATCCTAGGAATCAGCCTACTGAGTCACTTTTAAACTCCCTACAATGCCAGTATCTCTTTCTTAAAATAGAGTACAAAACAGTACTCCAGGTGCAGCCTCATCAACACCCAGCAGAGTTGTAACAAAACTTACCTATTTTAAACTCCAACCCCTTTGCAATAAAGGTCAAAATTCCTAATTACTTGCTAGACCTGTATCCTAAATTTGTGTGCTTTACGCACAAGCACACCCAAATCCCTCTGTCCTATACTTTCTTCGGAGACTATCCATTTTCATAAAATCTGCCTTTTGGTTCTTTCCACCAAATTGCATGACCTCACAGTTTCCTACATCAAATTCAATCTGCTAAGTTTTTGCTCACTTATTCAACACATCCATATCCCCTTCTTTCCTCATCACAATATGCCCTCCTACCTGTTTTTGTACAGTCAACTAATTTGTATAGATGACACTCTGCCTCTCCCTCTGACACATAAATATAGATAGCAAATGATTGAGGCCCTAGGACTGTTTCTAGCGATACTACACTAATTACATCTTTCCAAACTGAAACACAGACCCATTATTCCCAACTTTGGCCATCACACAGAAGACAATCTTCAATTCAGGTTAATACGTTACTCCCATACAATGTATTCTTATCTTGTGCAGTAACCTTTTATGTGACACCTTGTCAAATGTCTTCTAGAAATCCAAATACACTATAGCTACCGGTTGCCCTTTATCAACACTGTTTTTATATCCAGAAAATTTGTCAAACATGATTTCCCTTTCACAAAACCATTTTGACTTTGTTTGATTGTACAAAGCTTTTCCAAATGTCTTTTTTTTCCCCTAATAATGGACTCCAGTATTTTCCCAATGACAAATGTTAGATGGGCTGGACAATTGTTTCCTGCTTTGTGTCTCCCTCCTTTCTTGAATAGGGCATCGCCTTAACAGCTTTCCAATCCACTGGAACATCTTAGAATTCACAGTTGTGGAATATTTCAACCAATGTCTCTACTATCTCTGCAGCCACTTCCTTTGAAGTCCTTGGTCGCAAGCAATCAGATCTTGGTGTTTTGTCTGCCTTTAGTCACATTAGTTTGTTAAATGCTTTGTCCCTCATGTTACAAAATATTTCCTTCCATTAGCACTTTATTTATCTCATATCTTTGGGATTTTTAAGTGCCCTCCACCATGGATACCAACGTAAAATATGTTTAAATTATTTGCTATTTTTATGTTCCCAATTATTAATTTCTGGAGTTGCACCCTCCAAGGGTTCCACTTTTCCTCACCTAATCTCTGTTTTTATATACCTTTAGAAACTCATGGTGTTTGCTTTTATATTTCTTGCTGATTTATTTTCATATTAAATTTTGTCTCTCTTTATATGCTCCTGGTTGCTAAAAGTAACCCCAATCCTCTAGCCTATCACTAGATGTCACCAATTTGTATGCCATAGTTTTTGACTGGATATTCTCCTTATCTTTGTTCTCAAACAAGTGGATGTGTTTTTGACAAATTAACCTAATTGTCATTTGATATTCCAATTTAAGTCTCCAAAATTGGATATACTCTTTTCCATGAAAGGCTGACTTTATAGGAGGTGTATATATTTGTTAAGAGCAGTGAGACAATGACCAACAAAATATTTTTTGAGATGCAGGCAGCAATTTGGACTTCAGTGTAATGAATGTTATTATAATACACATCAATATATTATTCCTGCCTTTGATTAGGTCAGATATATTTAAACTATGGTCCCTGGGTCATATGTAGCTCTTAAATCTTTTCTATTAGACTGCAACCCCCTTCTTTACCAGGCCTCCCCGTCCATTGCTTTTCCTGTTTCATCACAGGTTTTCCTCATATTAAACACTCAGTAGCCAGGACAAATAGTTTTGCATTAGTATTAAGTAAATATAAGGAAAAATCTGCTAAATATGTTTTAAATTATTTTTATGCCACTAGCATCATGTGTTTGAATTTCGCAGGACCAAGCTGGCACTCATTGCTGCTTTCCCATTGATGGATAAATTTTAAATCCATCAACGAAGGAGCAGCAGTTGGAGCACAGCTTTCCAAATCTCTAGTTGCACTGAAGTGAAACAAGGAATGCCAGAGACATGTATAAATAAAAACTGTATTCTGTACAGACAGTATTCCTTAAGGCTTTCCAAACTACTAATTTAAAAGTAAGAGGTGCTAAGATAATCTTTAACTGTTTTTCAGCAAAATCTTGGTTGAACTTGTGATCCTCAGCAATTCTCAAATTACTGCACTGATCACACAGGCCATACTCTCCTTGCCTGAATGGCACCATGCAAGGTTGTCCCAATGAAGGCTATATATTTCTCAGCCCTGATTAGCCATTGTTTGGTATCTTCCCAATGAATAAGTGGGACTGGGAATTCACAGGAATTGACGATTAAATCTGTACCCCACTGCGGTAGTTGATCAAATATGTCACAGTACACTAAACGTGAACTATTTTTAAGGAGGGAACTATTGTGCAATTATTTCCAGTGTTAAAGTGATTAAATGAGTGTGTGCCTTGCAAATAAATTGATTTTTTTTTTCTCTAGATTAGAATTGTCACAAAATTTCAATTTACTGCTCTCCCCAGAAAAGCACATTGTTATTTCAACTTACTTTTAATTAAATATTACATAGAGAAATGTATAGGATTAGCACAGTATATGGTATCCAATCACAGTATCATTATCATGCACGCTATAAAGCAAAGAAGTGCTACATTGAGCACAAAAAGTAGCTATTTCTGAAATATTGCAATGTAACTCAAAGCAGGCATGATTTAAGAACAAACCCCAAATTACTTTACAACTGAAATGTTGTACAACTGGAAGGCATGGACATGAATATGATACTCAATTTTGGCTTTTATCCTGACGATTTATTTCTAATTGTCCTTGCGTACTTACTCAAATGCAAAATATTTAAAATAACGTGTTAATATCCAAGATTAAAGAGCCTTCCGTCCAACCAATCCAAGCGGAATATAAACTAAACTAGTCTCACCTGACTGCTCCTGGCCCACATCCCCCTAAACCTTTCCTATTCATGGACTTATCCAACTGTCTTTTAAACATTGTAATTGTACCCACATCCACCACTTCCTCAGGAAATTCATTCCACATGCAAACCACCCCCTTAAGTAAAAAATTTGCCCCTCATGTCTTTTATAAATCTTTCTCCTGTCACCTTAAAAATATGCCCCCTACTCTTGAAACGCCCCATCCTTGCACACCATCATAAAGCATTAGGATGTACATCCCTAATGAAGTCTGGTTTCTATCAAGTTATCAGCAGAGGAAAAGGTAGTCAGACAGAAATGGTCCCTGCTACTTTGTATATTTCTTAGAGAATGATTATAAATTATTGATTATAGTTTTTGGAAAAGGGACTTATCCAGGCATGACCATATATAGTTGGGCATTAAAAAAAACAAACTGAGGAGAAGGATAATTGTTGAGAAAACACAATTAGAAAATCACATCAGTGCATATTAATCAAGATTAGTCACTGCCAGGCAATCTACATCAATATGACAACCTGTATTGTGCGTCAAAATAATTCAAGAAATAAGAAACAATCAGTGAAATACTCTGATAGGTTATGTAAGGTATCTTTTTTTTAAACTGGTAGCCATCATCTCTCTCAGACTACTAACAAAGTACACTATACTACCAACCTTTACAAAAAACTACATAGGATTAATTAAGAGGTATTAAGAACTGCCGATGCTGGAGTCAGAGATAACACAGTGTGGAGCTGGAGGAACACAGCAGGCCAGGCAGCATCAGAGGAGCAGGAAAGCTGACGTTTTGGGTCTGAAATTTCTGAAGAAGGGTCCCAACCCGAAACATCAGCTTTCCTGCTCCTCTGATGCTGCTTGGCCTGCTGTGTTCATCCAGCTCTACACCTTGTTATCCCTTTGGACAGTGGTCTTTAACCCTGACAATTTGAGGCTACTTCTTTCCTTCCCATCTTGAACTTCAGCTCAAACAGACAGCACTAAACAATATGGAAGTGAAAAAGAAAAAAGTTTACAGCACCACTGTGTTACAAAATGTGTTTAAAGTTTTGATATGAAATGCAGAGCTGAAATTGCATTTTGTTTCTTGGGTTTTCGAAATACTCAACACTGAATTGGACATATGGTACAGAAACAGTGGAAAACTTTACCTTGTCAATTTCTTTCCCTTATTTGCTGAACTTGGTCTGCTTCGTTGTGTGCTTTTCAATCCAACCTTATTTTTGTTCTGAAACACATAAAGGAAATATAACTACAATTATTTTCACTTAATGGCTCCTAATTCAATGCGCATCTTGCCTTATGCATTACAAATTTCTTCTTTCCTGTTTGTTATTATGTTCATTCTTGGGGTGTGTCACCCAGCATTTGTTACCTATCCAAATTTGTCCTTGAAAATGTGGTGGTGACCCATCTTTTGAAATCATTGTGATTCTGGAGCTGGTACACACACAGGGGGAAATTCCACAATGTTGATTGTTGATAGTATTTCAAGCGTAAATTAACCAAATACATTAAATAATACTTACGAGGCCTACGGGGAATTCTCCTTTAACAGGAACTGATGAACATTAAGTGGCATATGGGATACTTGCCTTTATTAACCAAGGCAGGGAGATTATAAAACATCGGTTAGGCCACAACTAACAGTACCGTGTACAGTTCTGGAATCTACATTAGAGAAAGGATGTGATTGCACTGAGAGGGTGCAGAGAAGATTTACCAGGATGTTGTCTGGGTTGGAGAGTTTTAGTTATGAAGAGGTTGGATAAATTAGAGTTGCTTTCCTTGGAGCAGAGGAGACTTCCAAGGTAGGACTGTTTAGAAACTATGGACAATTCAGTAGTCTAGGAAATCAAAGAGCTGAATTTTCCTATTTTCAGTTAAAGTATTTGTCAAGTAAGATTTATGGGACCCGATCTACCATGGCTCACAGTGACTTTTCCTACGTAAACTTCTGCTCTTCACCTAACTGGTTATGGAACCAGGCTTTCTGGCACCCTTCTCAAGCAATCATGTGGTTGTAGAGGTTGATGTGCCTATCACCGTTCGTGCCGATTGTACCATGTTTAAAGTCCACCTGCAAGTTTGTAAGCCAGGAACTGGCCCTCGCAATTTGGTCCTTAGCTGTTATCAGTCAGTGCCCAGAAAGCAAAGCTTGCTCCCCACAAGGTGAACAAGAACCTGGAGGTGATTGTGGTGAGGAAGGCAGGTCTTTTTCCTGTTGGCTGCCAGATCCAGCCAGCCTGGACCAGACAGCAAACCAGGTCAATGTTGTGTCGGAGGTTAAAAGGAATGCCCAGCTATACAGGAAGAAATTGAATGATCTTCTGTGTTTCGCAGGTCCCACCATTTTCTCTGCTACCTCACATACACAGTGCCACCACTCACTTGAACTCTGCCACAGCACACACATCTCATAGCTCATGGACTACAACTCAAGTCAATGATACATTGCATGCATCATTTCCACTCAATAGTTCTTACCTCTGGGCAATTAGGGTTGGTTAATATATGCTGGTCTAGCCAATGATGTCCACATCCCATGAATTAATAAAAGAAAAAACCTGATCCTCCCAAACTACTGACTATTTCTGCCCTGTACTCTTTCAGTGGGAACACTTCACCACCTCTCCTGTTCCTGGACAAGCAATCGGCAAGCTCCGGCCTGCAGGCATACATTCTGACTTAGATGTTCGGAATTCACATCATCTAGCTTTTGAGGGAAAGAGAGGAAAATTAAAGTGGCATTTAAATAAGTTGGGGCTTTAATGAAATACAAATGCATGGAAGTAAGGCTGTTGCTGCTCAATGACGAGATTCTGAAGTCGTCATTTAAAGCTTAAGGGAAAAATCAGAAAAAGAATTCTCCATTTTGAAATTCCGATTTTTTTCATACATTCATGAGATGTGGGCATCTTAGGCTAGATCGACATTTATTGTTCATCCTTAATTGCAAGTTAAGAGTCAACCACATTGCAATGGATCTGACTCACATGTAGGCCAGACCACGTAAGGACGGCAGTTTCCTCTAATTAGAGAGGGGAAGTTTAGGGAAAATGTGGGCTTACAAAGCAAGAGGATACGGTAGGTTTACAAGGCAGTTATTTGGCTAGCAATACTCAAGGTGGGACAGGAAAGGACAGAGTGTACAAACATAGAAAAACAGCAGCACTAAGTAGGAAAAAACAGCAGCAAATCGGGTCAAAGAATGTAAAAAATGGTAAAAAGATAAAATTAATACATCTTTACCTGAATGTGCATTTTGAGCCAAGGTGAATGAATCAATGGTGCAATAAAAGGCAAAAGGCTATGATTGTATAACCATCATGGAGACATGGTTACAAAGAGATCAAAGCTGGGAATTAAATATTCAGGGGCATGTGACGTTTCTAAAGGACATACAGAAAGAAAAGAGTGGTTGGATAGTGGTGTTAGTACAAGATGGATCAAGTACTATTGCAAGAAATGATGTAGGATCATAAAATGTAGAATCCAAATGGTGAAGGTAAGAAATAACAAGGGAAAGAAGATACTGCTAATAGTAGTCTATTGGTCCCCTAACAGTAGCTTTTTGGTAGGACTGAGAATAAATCAGGAGATAATGAGGACAGGTAAAAAGGCAGTACATTAATCATGGATGACTTTATTCTTCATGTAGATTGGGACAGTCATGAGGAATAATACGTAGAGTACATTTGGGACAGTTTCATAAAACAATAAGCTACAGATCCAACCATGGATCTTTTGGATCTGGTGATGCGTAAGGAGGTAGGTTTAATAAATTAAAGATTCCCTAGGAAACAGTGAATATATATGGTAGAATTTAACATTCAGTTTGAGAGGGAGGAACTTGGGTCAAAAACAATGCTAAGTTTAAATAAGGGAAATCTCAAAGGAGCAGGGTCAGAATTAGCTGGAGTGGATTTGGAAAGTGGTTTAGCAACAAAGATGGTTAAGGAAACATGGCAGATGTTTAAGAAAATAGTTCATGGTTCACAGTAAAGATATATCCCTATAAGAAAGAATGACTCGAGGAAGGGGATAAGCCAATCACAGTTGATTGATCATGGCATTAAAGATAGCATCAAATTGAAAGAGAAAAAAAATACGATGTGCCAAAGATTTGTGGTGAGCCAAAGGATTGTAAATGTTTTTAAAACAAACAAATGACAACCAAAAAAGTTATAAAGAGGCAGAAGTGTATCGGTCTTCACAGTAGAAAACACTAATAGCAGTCCAAAATAACTAAATGATCAAGGGCCAAAAGGAGGAGAGAAATAATTATAACTATCACTAGAGAAAAAGTACAAGGGAAATTAATGGGGATAAAAGTCAATAAGCTCTCTGGATCCAATGGGATGCATCCTAAGACAACAAAAGAAATAGGTACAGAGATAATGGTTGCACTGGTAATAATCTTCCAAGAATCCTTAGATTCTGTAAAAGTCCCAAAGGATTGGAAACGGCCAATAAATGTTTTTGTTTAAAAAGGGAAGGAGTCTAAAAACAGATAGCTATAGACCAGTTAGCTTTATTGGGAAATTATGAGAGTCTATTATAAAAAAGATGTAATAACAGCATTTACAAATACATAACATAATCAAGCAGAGTCAGCATGGCTTCACAATGGAAAATTATGTGGTCAAATTTACTGGAATGTTCTGAAAAGCAGAATAGACAAAGAAAAAGCAGTAGATGTAATGTATTTGGATTTTCAGAAGGCATTAATAAGGTACCACACATTAGGATACTTAATAAGATACAAGTCCATGGTGATCGAGATAGTGTATTGGCACGGATGGAGGACTGCTAACTAATAGAAGACAGAGTTGGGATAAGGAGGGCATTTTCAGGATAGCAATCTGTAACCTGTGGAATGCCACAGGAATCAGTGCTGGGGCCACAATTATATACAATATATATTAATAACTTGGATGAAGAAAATCAATATAGTATAGCCAAGTTTGTAGATGACCCATAAATAGACGGAAAAGCAAGCAGTGAGGATGACACAAAGAGTCTGCGAAGTGATACAGACAGATTAAATGAGTGACAAAAAACATGGTCGATGGAATATAATGTTGGAAAGTGTAAGGTTATGCATTTTAGCGGAAAGAATAGAAGAACTGAACATCATTTAAATGGAGAAAGATTGTAGATAGCTGCAGCACAGAGGGATTTGGGAGACCTCATGCATAAATCTCAAAAAGCTAGCATCCCAAGTTCAGCAGGTAATAGGTGATGCAAATGGAATGTTGGTCTTTATTTCAAAGGGAATAGGATATTAAAATAGGGAAGTCTTGCTAAAACTATACAAGGCACTAGTCAGACCACAGCTGAAATACTGTGAACAATTTTGATCCCTTTATCTAAGGAAAAATGTACTGGCACTGGAGGAATAGCTCCTTATCCCCAGAGTTAGGGACACTACCACTGACCATCTCAGACCTTATAAGTAGAATAAGCATCAGAAAAAGCTCAGCAAGCATTTATGTTAATACCTTTGTTATTTTAGTTTCAAAAGATACTCCATCAGAAGGAACTAATTCTCTGAAAAAAAAACAGTATATAAATACATATTTTGATTTTGGTTCATGTGCTGTATTATAGGTAAACAATCATTCAAATATCAAGCAACCATAAGTCATGACTCATTCTCTTAGATGTCATCTTGCACAAGAAGAACTTTACTAAATGCAAACAGGCACATTATAGTAATGCATGTATTAACTATAACTATTGAGTATTGTAATAATTGAATATCTCAAGCACTTCACTGTTAACTTTAAGATCAGTGTCTATTTGTGAATTTATGCTTCTGCATCATTTAAGTTCACTTTCCTTGAATTGGAGAGTTTAGTTAGGTCAAAATTTTACTCATAAGTTGCACATAATTTGGAAGTTAAGTCCTATGTCTCAGGAGATTGCAGAAAACCAGATGGTGTTTTTTTCTTTCAGATGTCACCTCCTATTAACTGTACATAAAACAGCACTTCTTAAATCAGAAGATCTAAACTAAAGTCAAATCTGTGTGATGAGCAGTCTTCAAATACAGAATGCCAGAGAAAGTATATATTAGAAAAGGAATTGATAGCAATTCAGCTGAATTTAATTTTTTGGGGAGTTGGGTTGTATTTTCTTCCTCCTCATTTTCCTTTCCTGGGTCTCGCAACATATCCACAGCTGTGTCCTGGAGGCATGGTACTGGGATATTTCAATGCTTTCAACAGCTCTGCAATCAGTCACTCTACGATGTGGAACAGCAGATGTGGTAAGTCTTCCTGCAATTTCCCTGTCTTATTACGATCAAACATTGAGCCTTCGCCAGACAAATACAAGAGCAATCGGTAACTCAATGTTACTGCAGAATAGGCATAAAGTCTTTACTTCAACACTGTAAACTGTAATTTATCTGCACCAAATACCTTGGGCTTTTTCAATGGCACAACAATTATATATGTAAATTGATTGTAGGTTCATGAAAATTACACTGAATGTTATGATTTAAAGGCAATAAATAGGTCACATTGTTGTTCTACTAGTTCTTCCCACACAAAAAGTAACCTGTAGTTGTCAGGCAATATTAGAACACATACTGGTCAAATAAATCAGTAATAAAATTGAAAATCCTGTAAATGCTCAGCAGTTCTGACAATATGGGATGGATTTAATGCAGCCCAGTGCAGTGGAAAACATAGTGGCCAGACCCACTTAACCATGGGAGAGGGCCTACAACAGTCTCCCTGATAAAGTAGGAGGCCAGAAGCACCTGACAAAGACCTACTGGCTGCTGATAATGGGATAATAATTTGGTTCATTAATGATGGCACAGCTTTGATTGGCCCTCAGTGGGCAGGACTTCTGTGGGGGAGGCCTGATGGTTGCTACCTAAGTGACTGAACAGCACTTGATTCTTTGGGCCTCCCACTCCTGAACTGATCATCATTCCTCAATGGTTCTCTGCCCAGTGGGGAATACCTCTGCTAGCTGACAAAAACCCAGCTCGTGTGGACACAGAAACAGAAACAGAGTTTCAGGTAGATGACCTTTCACTAGAACATTTCACTATTTTAACATAAACCAATTCCTGTGGTGATAATAAATGCAAGACTTTTAGTAGCTTAAAAACAGCCTGCTATCATATATCAAAATCCCTATGTTATTCATAATTAAAAACTAAGTTAGCTGGGTCTGTATAATTTGTGACATGTTGATTCAGAAATTTGGTGCAAGAAATTTGCATGTAACAAAGTATCTGATGTAAGATAAGAAAATGTGACTCAGACAGTGCAGCAAACCACAAGTGAGACATATTGTTTTTATAAAATTGGGTGAGTCAGAGATGGAAGAAAGGTAGTTGGAGAGAGTAAGGAAATGACAGAAATACTACACAAGAATTCTGCTTCAGTTATCAGAGAGTGGAAATTGAGACTATTGATATATATGAGGTGGGTGTAGAAAAATTCATGGAGTCTATTAATCAGAGATGGCATAATTAAAGAAATGACTCAAATCTAAGGTAGACACTCACCAACAGGAAAGTGCTGAATTTGTAAAAGAATCCAATTTAAGTGGTAACCGGGTGTTAGGCATAATTTTTAGTCTAATATTAAAGAATGATTCAAAAACCGTAGAAGAGATGGGAGAATTGGATTATTGGAGAGGTATTAAGTATGAAGGGCTATACTTATGAAGGTTTGAGATATGAGAATGTTCCAGAATTGATTCTTAGTTTATGGCAAGTTAATTGATCTTAGCTGAACTGAGTGAGGTAATAGTTTATTTAGCTTCAATGTCCCCATTCAAGAAAGAAAAATATTTTGCTAGAGTTTCCAATTGTCCAGGGATTTCCTGCTAGAAGTGCATATATGGATCTTGGAAAAGGTTTGGTTCTACTGTCACGACCCTTAGTCATAAAATTTGATGGCATTTCAATGTTCAGGCTGACAGAGCAATAAAGGTCATTTTGCAAGATGTCAGATTATTTGACATCACTAACGTTTTTGGAACAGTAACCTCATATCAGTCACATCCATACGAGTAAGGGAAGAAAACTAAAAGAGGCTGGGGTGTGCTTATTAAATGTGTCTGTGGAATGTTACTGTTCATTTTGATCAGAAAAATCCTAGGTCAAAGTTAATGATCTCAGTTAAGTATTATGAGGGGTCACAAAAAATGGTTTCAGTATTGCCAGACCAACATGGAAATACATAGATAAGTCAGCTCTATGCCATTATTGAAACAGTGTATTAAAAACCACTGAACTTCAGTGGAGTCAGTTTCAGGAAAAGTAGTATCTTAAGTATATTTATTTCAACACCCACACACATAATTAGTTCTGAAAAGTTTTACTGGTCAACAGTGACAAGTAGAAGACAATCTAAATAACAAAATTAGTGTCACAAAGTAAATCTCAGTTGATAGACCAAAGCTCTGGCTTTAGATGTATCACGAAAAGTTAATAGAAATACAATTTGATGTTCAGTATGGCAAACAGTGCAGAAACATAGAAAATAGGAACAGGAGAAGGCCATTCGAACCTTTGATCCTGTTCTGTCATTCAATACAATCTTGGCTGATCATCCTACTCAGTACCCTGTTCTCACTTTCACCCCACAGCTTTTAGCCTTTGACCCTTTAGCCTATATCTAACTCCTTCTTTTAAAGATTTTATCAAAGAACTGTCCTGTAGAATGAAAATTTTTTTAAACGTTATTAAACTTAATAGATTAAAAACAACTATCTTCAAACATTTTTGAAGGACTGGCTGATGCGATGAAATAGTAATGAGATCAAAGGGGAGGAAGTTCTGAAAATACAGCAAGAATTGAAAAACTAGAATTCTGACATTAGGAAATAACTTTCCAATTTTCCCCTTAAGTTTTAAACAACAACTTCAGAAACTCACTATTTAGCGGTGACCACCTTATTTCCATGCATTTCTATCTCATCATTAGCCCAATATGCCTCATTTCTACAAGACTTCCAATTCAACTCTCCTTCTCAGATATTCATCAAACTGTCTCCACCACATGTGCTTTACAAACATTGTCCTCCCTCATCTTTCATCCACTCAAATTAAAATGGGCAAACCACAGCATCATATGTTCTCCTGGTTGAACATCTCACCCCTGCAGAACTTCATTTTAGAACTCAGGAACTATTATGATTTGCAGGCGTCTGCCAAGTTGCTTTAGCACAGGGAAACACATGCATCTCATGCATCTACACAGGATGCATTCATTTCTTACCACTCATTCTGCACTCACTTGGAGGCTGCCAGCCTCTGTATTGCATTTTAGCAGATAGGCTCTTCAGTTCTAAGTTATAGGCTGCTAGCTTCCGTGTCTTGCATTGCTTTTAGAGGAGAGGGATAGGCAGGCAACTTGTCATATTTCAGAGTACTGAACAGTCAATGGACGGACATGTTATTGTACAACACCATAGTGCATCAATGTCACACCTACAGTACATGCCAGCAGCTTATGCAGCGAATATACCGGATGTGTTTCAATAAAATGGCCATGTCTGAATGTCAAAGGGAAGCAGTCCTTATTGGGGTTAAAGGGGACTGCAGTCAGTCAGATATACTGTCACAGTGAATCTGATTACGGTTCAGGGATTGGTCATGGTCAATCACTTAGCCTAACCAGAGTTTAGGGATCCATCTCCATGCAGTCCATGGATTGGGATTGGGATTGGGCCATGACCAGCACTGGAACTACATGCAGATTAGTCGGTTGCTATGGGGACATCATTCTGGAGGTCACGTTATATTCAGTCAGGCTATCCTACCCAGTCACATCCTGGAGTGAATCCCAGTCAACCCTAGAGGTTTAGGCAATGATAGTCTTGAGGGGTTGTCAAGAAGTAGTCCACGGTGTGAAGAAAAAAATGGGAATCTCAGGTCAGTGGGATAGGGTTTATTGGACAGGGTCGCTGAAGGAATGATTACAGTGAAAAGCAGCAATTCAGGTGGGTGTGATCTCAAAGAGCATACGAGAGGACGTGGAGATCCACAAGTGGGAGTTTTCACAAACTACAATCATTCATACCTCCATATAAAAATGTACAGCCAAAGGCAGTTCACAAAGCCAGGGTCTCTGGGCATGGAGGGTTAAATTGGGAACATTAATGGTTATTTAAAGGGCTAAATGACAATGAAGGGAGGCTGAAAGGTCATCAAGGACACTGAACAGCCATACAAAAAGAAACATGAAGGATAGGGGAAACACTCTCCGTCTCAGGCAGAACATTCAAGTCACTCACAAGACTCAAAGTTGAAACCTTGCAATCTTCAACCTATAGTGAACTACATAATGGCTATCACTGCATACAGAGTGGGCAGAGTAAATTACTTCTTTCTGGGAGTAAAGTTAGTTGTTTGAACTGGCCCTGTTAGGTACAATTGCATTATCTGTTCCTCCACTGATTGAATAATGGTACCCCTAGAATGTCATGTGAATCAACAATGATATATACAAACTTGGCCACACTGCAAAAGCCTTCTCATTAATATTATAGGAGTGGCAGAAAATTGAAGCATCACC